GCCGTTTCCATCGGTTCGGCCCTGCTCGAGCGGCACATGCAGGGGGGCTCCCCAAGAGAAGTTGCGGTGCGATCCTCGGGCGCCGCTTCTTCTGGCTCGGCCCTGCTCGAGCGGCACAAGCGCGGGGGGGCTCCCCAAGAGGAGTTGCGGTGCGATCCTCGGGCGCCGCTTCCATCGGCTCGGCCCTGCTCGAGCGGCACATGCGGGGGGGCTCCCCAAGAGGAATTGCAGCCAAGGCCTCGTCCACCGAGCGCCGCCGACGATGTGCATGTATGTATTACGTATGTACATGTGCACGTACGCATGTATGCATGTATGAATGTATGCATGTGTGAGTGTGTGCATGTATGCATGAATGTATGTTTGTTTGTACGTGTGTATGTGTGCTGGACGTATGTATACATGTATATATGTATGTGTGAGCATGTACGTACGAATATGTATGCATGCATGCACGCAGTACGTATGTACGTGTATATGTGTATGTATGTATGTTTGTGTGTATGTATGGATGTTTGTATGCATGTGTATACATTGGTATATGAGTTTATGATGGCAGGCATGCGCGCATGCATGTATGCATGCATTCAGTCATGGAATGTATGTATGTTTGTCTGCATGGCGATGTGTACGTGTGTATGTATGTATGTGTGCATGCATGTATGTATGTATGTATGCATCTGTGCATGCATACATTCACGTGTGAATGCCATTATGTGTATGTGTGTATGCATGCATGTCCGTATGTGGGTATGCATGCATGTCTGTGTGTATGCATATAAGTATGCATGTGTGTGTGCGTGTGGAAGCATGCACGCATGTACGCATGTACGCATGTATGTATGTATGTACGTATGCATGTATGCGTGTATGCATACATGGATGCAGGTATGCATGTATGCGTGTGTGTATGTATGTATGTGTGTGCATGTATGTGTGTGTGCATGGATGCATGTATATATATATGTGTGTATCGATGTATGCATGTATGTGTGTGTATGTATGTGTGGATGTTTGTCTGTCTGGCTGTCTGTCTGTCTGTATGTATGTATTTGTGTTCGTTTGTATACATGTTTGCATGTATGTATTTATCTATGCGTTTTATGCATGTATGTATGAATGTATGCACGTTTGTATGTGTGTATGTGTATGTCTGTGTGTATGCATGTATGTATGTCTGTATGTCTGTATGTATGTATGTGTGTACGTTTGTATACATGTATGCATGCATGTAGTTATCTATGCATGTATGCATGTATGCATGTATGTATGTATGCATGTATGGCTGTATGTATGGCTGTATGTATGCATGCATGCATGCATGCATGCATGTATGTATATATGTACTGGTGTATGTATGTATGGACGTATGTATGTATGGATGTATGTATGTATTGATGTATGCATGTATGCATGTATGTATGCATGTATGTATGTATTTGTGTATGTATGTATGTATGCATGTATGCATGTATGTATGTATGTAGGTACGTATGGACGCACGTATGTACGTATGTATGTATGTATGGATGCATGCATGCATGCATGCATGTATGTATGTATGTATGTATGTATGTATGTACGTATGTATGTATGTATGCGTGTAAGTATGTACGCATGTATGTATGTATGTATGCATGCAATGTGCGTGTGCGGGTATACATGCATGTATGTATAAGTTTGCCTGTGGTGTGTTCCCCACATCCTAAGTGGGGTTCTTGTTTTCTCTGCACACCCTCCGCGCAGGATCTCTCCTCCTCCTCCTCCTCCCTCTCCTCTGCTCCTCTTTGCTTCCTCCTTCGCATCATCATCACCATCACTCCCCACTCATCATCACCATCACCATCAACATCACCATCACCATCGCACGATCACTCACCATCATCGGCATCGAACGATCATCATCATCATCATCATCATCACTACTCGCTGACTTGAGACCTGAATATGGAGGAAGTATCAGGCGGGAGCCTCGTCTGTGAGTGAATTGCGAGGAAGTCTCAGGCGGGAGCCCCCTCCCTATGGGGCCAGCACTTCATGTTCGAATCCGAGCGGGTCATCCGCAACGTGCAACTGTCGTCATTTTTGGGCTCTTGAGACCTGAATATGGAGGAAGTCTCGAGCGGGAGCCTCGTCTGTGAGTGAATGGCGAGGAAGTCTCAGGCGGGAGCCCCCTTCCCGTGGGGCCTGCACTTCATGTTCGAATCCGAGCGGGTCATCCGCAACGTGTAACTGTCGTCACTTTTGGGCTCTTGAGACCTGGATATTGAGGAAGTCTCGAGCGGGAGCCTCGTCTGTGAGTGAATTGTGAGGAAGTCTCAGGCGGGAACCCCCTCCCTATGAAGCCCCACTTCATGTTCGAATCCGAGCGGGTCATCCGCAACGTGCAACTGTCGTCACTTTTGGGCTCTTGAGACATGGATATTGAGGAAGTCTCGAGCGGGAGCTTTGTCTGTGAGTGAATTGCGAGGAAGTCTCAGGCGGGAACCCCCTCCCTATGGGGCCCGCGCTTCATGTTCGAATCCGAGCGGGTCATCCGCAACGTGCAACTGTCGTCACTTTTGGGCTCTTGAGACATGGATATTGAGGAAGTCTCGAGCGGGAGCCTCGTCTGTGAGTGAATTGTGAGGAAGTCTCAGGCGGGAGCCCCCTCACTATGGTGCCCGCGCTTCATGTTCGAATCCGAGCGGGTCATCAGCAACGTGCAACTGTCGTCACTTTTGGGCTCTGGAGACTTGAATATTGAGGAAGTCTCGAGCGGGAGCTTCGTCTGTGAGTGAATTGCGAGGAAGTCTCAGGCGGGAGCCCCCTCCCTATGGGGCCCGCATTTCATGTTATTAATCCGAGCGGGTCATCCGCAACGTGTAACTGTCGTCACTTTTGGGCTCTGGCGGCATGAATATGGAGGAAGTATCAGGCGGGAGCCTCGTCTGTGAGTGAATTGTGAGGAAGTCTAAGGCGGGAGCCCCCTCCCTATGGGGTACGTACTTCATATTCGAATCCGAGCGGGTCATCCGCAACGTGCAACTGCCGTCTTTTTTCGGCTTTTGAGACCTGAATATTGAGGAAGTCTCGAGCGGGAGCCTCGTCTGTGAGTGAATTGTGAGGAAGTCTCAGGCGGGAGCCCCCCTCCCTATGGGGCCCGCACTTCATGTTCGAATCCGAGCGGGTCATCCGCAACGTGCAACTGTCGTCACTTTTGGGCTCTGGAGACCTGAATATGGAGGAAGTCTCGAGCGGGAGCCTCGTCTGTGAGTGAATTGCGACGAAGTCTCAGGCGGGAGCCCCCTCCCTACGGGTTCCGCACTTCATGTTCGAATCCGAGCGGGTCATCCGCAACGTGTAATTGTTGTCACTTTTGGGCTCTTGAGACCTGAATATTGAGGAAGTCTCAAGCGGGAGCCTCGTGTGTGAGTGAATTGCGAGGAAGTCTCAGGCGGGAGCCCCCTCCCTATGGGGCCTGCACTTCATGTTTGAATCCGAGCGGGTCATCCGCAACGTGTAACTGCAGTCACTTTTGGGCTCTTGAGGCTTGACTATGGAGGAAGTATCAGGCGGGAGCCTCGTGTGTGAGTGAATTGTGAGAAAGTCTCAGGCTCCCTATGGGGCCCGCACTTCATGTTCGAATCCGAGCAGGTCATCCGCAACGTGCAACTGTCGTCACTTTTGGGCTCTTGAGACTTGAATATTGAGGAAGTCTCGAGCGGGAGCTTCGTCTGTGAGTGAATTGCGAGGAAGTCTCAGGCGGGAGCCCCCTCCCTATGGGGCCCGCAGATCATGTTATTAATCCGAGCGGGTCATCCGCAACGTGCAACTGTCGTCACTTTTGGGCTCCTGAGGCCTGAATATGGGAGAAGTATCAGGCGGGAGCCTCGTTTGTGAGTGAATGGCGAGGAAGTCTCAGGCGGGAGCCCCCTCCCTATGGGGCCCGCAGATCATGTTAGTTCGTTTCGAAATATACGCAGAACAGACAAGCCAGGACGCCTCACCAACCACGAGGACGACGGTGAGGGCTTTTCCCAGATTCGCCCAGAGGATTCTCATGTGGGGTCCTTCCGTCGGAGTAATTTTGTTTTGTGGTATGTATGTATGTGGTCGGGGGCCCTGGGGCCAACATATGTGCATATCCACCGCATCCGAAGGTCCCAGGGCGTCGGTTCCCCAGGCGGTGACTGGGTAAATCCCCGCTTCGCAACTGCGCAAAATGCATGGCGGCCTAGGCAATAGAGGTGTGTTGCGCATCGCTTGGCGCGATGCGCGAAGTGAGGCCACTCAGAGTAGGAAGGCGTTGGAAGTAGATTGGGTCCCTGGCCAGCCCCTGAGGAGGAGGGAAGAGGGAAAGCCGCTAGACTCTTGAAGTACGGTGGCGCATAAACTAGATTGGGATCTGGACATCCCCAAATATCTGCTTTCAACGGCCGGCATCTAATCCTTCCCTTTTGGAATGCCGCGCAGATTGCTTGGCTCGGCGCTGGGACCCCCTGGCGGCGCCCACCCTCCAGGGTCCATTTCGATCCGATCGATCCGATCCGATATCGACTCCAGCCGGCCCGCTCCGATTTGATACCGTCGGACCGAGGTATAAGATCGAGGTTGGTTCGGGGAGGGTGCCCTAATGTTCTTCGTGCTTGTTGGATGTTATTGTGCATCCTGGGAGAGGGTACGCTCGAATGGTATTCAGTTTGGCTGGTGGAGGGTCTCATGCTCTTTGAAGGACCTCCTTCTGTCCAAGGTCCAGCCGTACCGAAATTGCGACGATCCGATTCGGCCCGATCTGTTGTGCATCCTGTATTTCGACTCCGTGACGATATAGCCCGATCTGATTCTCATTTTGATTCGGCTCGATTCCCCGACCCGATGCTGATTGATCTTACCCCCGCAGGCCGTGGTTCCCACCACGGGGCAGGCGACTGCGAATCCATGCGCAGGCTGATTGTTCCTTCAATCGCCGCCCGGCCGGCTATGGCAGCTCCGGGGAGGGGCTCCCCTTATTTGCCGAAGAGTTCTTGTGTCGGCACTGGACCGCGCAGATGTCCTGGCTCCGCGCGGATTTCTGGGCCAGCGCCAGGGCCTTCCAGGCTTCAAGCGCGCCAGGGGAGGCAGGCATGCCCGTCGCCGGGCCAAGAGGTCCGCACGATCGATCTTTCTCGAGAGTCCCAAAACTCAGCCACGCGCAGAGGTGGCTGAGGGGGAGGGGGGAGGGCTTCTTAGAAGCACCCCTGCTTCTTAGAAGGCGCGGGCCTTGTCTATAGACGTAGGGCCGGCGCCTTCGGAGAAGCAGCCTCCTTACAAGAAGCCCTCCCCCCTCTACCCTCTTCTGCGCGCCGCCAAGTGGAGCCCGATGCGTTTCTCCACGCCGACGGCGCCGATGCGTCGCCGATGTCGGCGATGCATTGCCGATGCAGCGCCCATGCGGCGCGATCCCCGGGCCTGGCCCCATCTACAGGAGGCCTTTTCAATAAGGTATCCCCAGGGGGCCAGGGCTCGTTTCCATTCCTCTGATTCGATTCGATTCGATTTCCATGGCCTCCGATTCCGATTCCCCCCTCCCTCCACCCCCTTGGTGCGCACCTCCGAAAAACACGTCGCTTGCATCCAGAGGCTCTCAGTTGTCTTGGCCGCCTCGTGGGCGCCCCCGTGCGCTGGCTGGCTCTGCCGAGGTTCTCGCCCGGCGGGCGCCCGTGGGCGTCTCGTGGGCGCCTCGTGCGCTGGGCATCTGCAGAAAAGAGCCCCTGCCCCCAGTATTTTATTGGCCCTCCTAACTTAGGTTCCCTCCCAACCTCTTGCGGGCCTTTGCGGGCCTCTTGTGGGCCTTTGGGGGCCTCTGGGGGACCTCTGCGGGACCTTTTGGGCTTCGGAGGCCGTCTTGGAGGCCCCTCTGGGCAGTCGTGGGGTCCTCTTTGGGAGCTTTCAGGCCTTTTGGGGGCCCATGGCGCCATCTTCGAGCGATGTTGGGAGCTTATCGGGCCGTCACGGAGCGTTGACATTCCGAACAGGTGAGAACGCGAAAACCAATGGACACCATACAGGAAATCAATGGTTGTTGCTTTCTGGAGGTCCTCCTGGAGCCCTCTTGGGACGTCTTGGGGGCCTCTTGGGCCGTCTAGAGGGCATCGTGGGCCGTCTTGAGGTCATTTTGGCTGTCTTGGGATTGTCTTGGAAGCCATCTTTGGGCCATTTTGGGCCCTGCTGAATGCGTCTCGGGACCGTCTTGGAGGCAATCTTGACCATCGTGGAGTTAGATTTCCCTGACATGAACGTCCGCTCGGATATTTCAGGGTGGTCAAGGCGAAGGCCATTCAGAACCCGTAGACATGATTTAAACAGTCGGTGCATTTAAACACATTCAGTTCGCCGCGCACACTGGTGATGCACACATGGCGCGGCGGATCGAAGATGCCTACGGTGAATCACCGCCGCCCCCTGCCTTTTGGAAACGCCCATGCGGCCAAACGTTGGGCCGGAACCTGGCCAAGCTATTGGATTGTGTGTTCTCCCAGCCGTTGTGGAAACCCGTGGGGATTTTTGAGAGACAGGGAAAGGAGGAGGAGAGGGAGGGGAAGGCGCAGGATGATGAAGAAGAGGCCTCTTGAGGCCATCTTGGGGCCTTCTGGTGGCTTCCTGGGGGCCTCCTGGGGGCCTCTCGAAGGTGTTCTTGGGCTTCCTGGGAGCACGTTTCACTTCAATGTCACCCCCCCGACCTCCGATCATGTACCAAAGCCAACGAGCTTCAAGTGGAGGGCCGTCGGGGCAGGGCAGGTGCGAGACCTCGCCGCGGTGACGGTGCACGTGTGCAGGGACAGCCTCGTCGAGGGGTCGCGGCCTCGAGTCTGTCTGGGCACGGGGTCGTGAGCGGGTGGGAAGGCGAGGACGGGCAGGGGGAGGAGGAGGAGGAGGAGGAGGAGGAGGAGGAGGAGGAGGAGGAGGAGGAGGAGGAGGAGGAGGAGGAGGAGGAGGGGGAGGAGGTTGAGGGGCAGAACGCGGAGGAGGAGGAGGAGGAGAAGGAGGAGGATGCAGATTATGATGATGAGGAAGAGCAGGAGGAGGTGGAGCAGGAACGGGAGAAGAAGGTTGAGGAGGTTGAGGAGGTGAGGAAGCGCGGAGAGGGGGGGGGACTAGGAGGAGGAGGAGGAGGAGGACGATCAGAGCAAGTCCACCATTCACCAGCGATGCCTCAGTACACCGTGCCGTCCCAAGTTGCCTCTTCATAAGTCCCCAGACCACTTTGCTCTCACTGCAGGAAGCGCCCCCAGACAGATCAGCACCCTGTGGGGCTGAACCTCGGGCGAGAGCCCTGTGTTGAGAAGGAGCTGTCGTGCATCCTTCCAGCGAGTATTACGGAGCACAGTAGCGCATGACCAGGTAATCCAACGAGGTGTCCAGCGACATTCCCGATCCGGCAAATGACAGCCCCCCCACGTGTGTGCTTGCTGCGCAAGCTTGCAGCTCTGCTTATGGATTTCGAGGCCGTGTCGAGGACTACTCTCAATTAGACCATGAGCCGCCCTCCATCGGTGTAGCTGTTGCGTATGACCATCTGTCTGGCTTGTAGGCGCAAGGAGTTATGAACTGCAAGCCCCACGGAAGAAGCAAAGTAGTGTCCCATCGGTTGGACTTCTGCGAACCGTTAGGAAGAACGTGCGCGACGCTACGGGGATAGCCCCGCCTCGAAACAGAGCCGAGCTCCCTTCATGAAGCTGTTGCAAACTGTTGAGGCGAATGTGCGCGACGCTACGTCGAGATCCCCTTCGGGAATGAGCCACCCTCCATCCTTTGAAGTTGCTCTAAACTTTTAAGACGTGGGTGTGCGGCGTTACGGCGAGAGCTCCATTGTGAAAGAGAGCCGCCGTCCATCTTTGACGCTGCTGCAGGCTTGAAGGCGCTTGTGCGCGACGCCAAGACGTGAGCTCCATTTTTTAAACGACCCCTAATTCATCTATGAAGCTGTTGCGCGGCACCACGGAGAGAGCCCGTTTTTCAGAACGACTCCTCCTCGTCCTCCTCCTCCGTCTCCTCCTCTGGCACACACAGTGCCATGAGGTTTCGGCCCCCACGGGGCCAGAGGGGTATCCCCCCCAGCCCGCGAGTGACTTTGTATATTGCGTACAGCCCCGATGCACGAGTGTCGAGTGCTGCACGACGCGCGTAACACATAACCTCACATAGTAGATATGCGACTGTTTGAGGTTGTAGTTTGCACGAGTGTCACGCCACGTGTATAGCTGCGTCATCCCCGCACACGCGCAAGGCCGAGTCCTTTCCTATCTTACCCCATCCTATCCTATCCTATCCTATCCTATCCTATCCTATCCTATCCTATCCTATCCTACCCTGTCCTATCCTGTCCTATCCTATCCTATACTATCCTATACTATCCTATCCTCCTCCTCCATCCCTGAACAAACTGTGAAGACGAATGTGCGCGGCGCTACGGCGAGAGCTCCATTTTGGAAACGATCCCCATCCATCCTTGAAGCAGCTGCAAGTTTTAAAACGGATGTGCGCTACGCTGAAGCGAGAGGTTCATGTTGAAAACGACTCCCCATCTACAGTCAACCCGCATACTAAGGATGGGCAGCCTTCCCCAGGGTACCCTTGCATCCTTGCCCCTTCGGCCCATGCGAGGAGGAGGCGGAGGAGGAAGAGGATGAGGAGGAGGAGGAGGAGGAGGAGGAGGAGGAGGAGGAGGAGGCCGCTCCCTGGCGCGGTCGCACTTGTTCGAGGTCTCAAATGCAACGCCGCGGTCTCAGAAGTCCTTTCCACTGGCGTCCGTTTGGGAAACGCACCAGGTGAGGAGGGCAACGATCAGGAAGAGGATTCTGTCGGATTCTGCCATCTCGGGAGCAACGTCAGGGGAGACCATCTCGGGGGGGGGGTGCATCGACCCCAACCGCCCAGCACCGCCGACGGGGGCCCGATAGCCCGTCCCTCCCACGAACATGCGGATTCGTGATCGGAGGGTATTGCCCATCAGTCGGCGACGTATCGCAGCTCGGCGTTCCCCCCCTGAACCAGTCTGCCCCCGATCAGGTCGCTTACCCCCCCCGAGGAGGAGGAGGAGGATGAGGAGGATGAGAAGGAGGAGGAGGAGGAGGAGGAGGAGGAGGAGGAGGAGGAGGAGGAGGAGGAGAAGGAGAGGAGGAGGAGGAGGAGAGGAGAAGAAGGAGGAGGGGGGGGAAGAGGAGGAGGAGGGGAGGAGGGGGAGGAGGGGGAGGAGGGAGGGGGGAGGGAGGGAGGGAGGGAGGGAGGGAGGGAGGGAGGGAGGAGGGGGAGGGAGGAGGAGGAGGAGGAGGAGGGAGGAGGAGGAGGAGAGGAGGAGGAGGAGGAGGTAGGAGGGAGGAGGAGGAGGAGGAGGGAGGAGGAGGAGGAGGAGGAGGAGGAGGAGGGGAGGAGGAGGAGGAGGAGGAGGAGGAGGAGGAGGAGGAGGAGGAGGAGGAGGGGAGAGAGGAGGAGGACCAGGGGGACGAGGGGGAGATGAGGAGGAGGCGGAGGAGGAGGAGGAGGGGGAGGAAGAAGGTGGAGGAGGAGGAGGAGGAGGAGGAGGAGGAGGAGAGGAGGAGGAGGAGGAGGGGGAGGAGGAGGAGGAGGAGGAGGAGGAGGAGGAGGAGGAGGAGGAGGAGGATCGGTGGCTGGGAGGCACCTGGGGTGTTCCAGAAAGGCTTCGACTTTGATGGACCGAAGGAGTTTGAATCTGTTCTTCGGCGGAGGGCCAGCGGAGTGTGGCCGAAGCAAAGCGGTGGGCGGCCCCGTCGGCGGACGGCCAGCAGAAGTTGGCGGGAACAAGAGTCAGCGTTCCTACAGGTGGGGGTCTGGTTGGTTTCAGGATGCCCGGGGCTCGCCAGTTGGAGGAAGAGGGAGGTGGGTCGAGGCGTAGGAAGAGGATTTTGTTATCTAGACATCAGGGGTTCGAGATAGAAAATGCGCGGCGGCACGAAGCCTACGCACCCTACCCCGAGCCGGCCCCTGGGCGACGAGGTCCAGCTTTGAGAGCATTTCTTGAGGTTGGTTGCCCGCCCAAGCCGTTCTTGCATGATCGACAGGAGGGCTGGAACGCCGGGCAAGGCCCCCACGTGGCGGCGCAACAGAGACCTCCTCGCCTCCCGTGGTTGCGGGTGTTACCGCGCCCGCTCATATTTTTGGAGGATCGACTTGTCCAGCTGGGCGGCTTCCGTTGGCCCTTCGAGCGGCTGGTGGTGTCATCAGCGCCGCGCGCATCACGCATATCACCATCGTCGTCGACACAGACCCCCGACGTAGCGTTTTTGTTCCCAACCATCCTGTGGTGTAGGGTCCTCGTTTTGAAGAGTCAGCGCCCCGCGTCACTCTTTCCTTCCTCCTCCTCCCTCCTCCGCTCCACCGAAGGCCCTAGTGGCACCGCCCTCATGCGTCACCTCCACCCAGTGCAGCGCATCGTGGCCCCATAGGGAGCTCCATGGCACCGCCCGCGTGCGTCACCCCCACCCAGTTCAACGCTCCGTGGCCCCATAGGGGTCTCCACCCAAGGGTCACAGTGGCACCGCCCGCATGCGTTACCCCCACCCAGTGCAGCGTTTCGTGGCCCCATAGGGGTCCCCACCCAAAGGTCACAGTGGCACCGCAAGCATGCGTCACCACCACCCAGTGCAGCGTATCGTGGCCCCATAGGGATCTCCACCGAAGGCCCCAGTGGCAGCGCCCGCATGCGCTACCCCAACTCAGTACAGCGCGTTGTGGCCCCATAGGGAGCTCCACCGAAGGTCCCAGCGGCACCGCCCGTATGCGTCACCCCCACCCATTGCAGCGCTTCGTGGCCCCATAGGGAGCTCCACCGAAGGCCCCAGTGGCACCGCCTGCATGCGTCACCCCCACCCAGTACAGAGCTTCGTGGCCCCATAGGCAGCTCCACCGAAGGCCCCAGTGGCGATGTCCGCATGCGTCACCCCTACCTGGTACAGCGCTTCCTGGCCCAATAGGGAGCTCCACCGACGGCCTCAGTGGCGGTGTTCGCAGGCGTCTCCCCCACTTAGTACAGCGTTTCGTGGCCACATTGGGAGCTCCACCGAAGGCCCCAATGGCACGGTTCGCATGGCGGCCCCGTTCAATTTCGGCACACCCCTCACATGTTTCGTGGCCCCACATGGAGCGCCACCGAATGCCCCAATGGCTGCGCCCGCACGCGTTTCCGCCCCATGTTGGCACACCGTTTACACGCTTCGTGGCCCCATGAATAAACCACCGCAGGCTATTTCCCACAACGGCGATATTCACAACTGCAACATGGCTGGGCCCTTGCCCAGGATGAGTTTGTTTCACAACCTTGCCCCGCAGAAATGTTAACCCACTCTTCGGAAACATATGTTTATCTGGGGTCGTTTTTGATGGTCCTGTGGCCTAGCGAGGGCTTCCACAGGCCAAGAATGACAAAACATACATCGTCGTGATTACTTCACGGCGCGGGGGTGTCTGGGGACATTGTTGTCGTCAGTACCGTCGCCTTCGCCGCCGCTGTCCTCGTTGCCTGGAAGGGGACGGGGCCGCCCAGGTCCTTCCTGGCCTCCGTGCAGAACTGCCTGCAGAACGGCCTTGCGATCCCGGCCGCGCCGTCCGACTGGTCTCGCGAGGGCGTGGAGGAGGGCCTGCCCCCCCCCGCCATTCCACAGGAGCCCAGTGGTTCGACCGTCTGACCGGGCGGGCCTCCCAAGGGCACGAGCCAAGTGGCTGCTTGGCGCCCGGCACAACTCTGACGTTCTCGCACCGCTGCCTCCTTTCGGGCGAAGAGAATCATGCACATGCGCCGATCCTGGCAAGGCCCATCCTTGACCCATGATCGGTGCATATGCCTTCCAGGCCAAGGTAATCGAAGGGTTCCTTATCCAATGCCTTCACTGTAGGGGAAGTGAGGGGATTCTCAAAAGGAGGGCCAGTTGAGCCAGCGGTAGTTGGCCTTCGGGCCCCCTCATCGCCGAGGCTTTTGGACGCAGCTCTGAAATCTGGCACGTCTGGATCCCCAGAGGGTTCCAGGCACCGATTTTGAGGTGCCGTTGTCTCAATTCGCCCCGCTCCGAGATTTGTCCGCCACAGTCTCCATGAGATGACAGCTGGCATAGCCTATGCGACGCTCGGATTTTTCTCGGGGTGGAAAATTCCCGGGGGGGATATGGGTGTGTGTGTGTGTTGTCGGGTGGGGGTCCGCGCTCGCACGAGAGCCCCCCATCGGGGCTCGACAACTCGCACCCGCTCGCTCCCTGCAGGTTTGAGTGTGTGTGTGTGTGTGTTGTTTTTTTTGTTTTCCCCCCTTCTCGTCGCGCCAGGGTCTCCTCCTCTTCCTGCGTTCGCCGCGGCCCAAGTTGCATCCAGCGCGCCCCCCTGGTGCGTGTGTGCGTGTGTGTGCGTGTGTGTGTGTGTGTGTGTGTGTGTGTGTGTGCGTGTGTGCGTGTGTGTGTGCGTGTGTGTGTGTGTGTGTTTGTGGTTCTTTCGGCATGTCTTGCTTGCTCCCTTTGTGGTTGCGCACTGTCCGGGGTTTCCGCTCTGGGTTCCGTGCCGTGGGCAGGGGCAGCCTGCACGCGCCCGCTCCCAGGCGCCGGCGGAGGCGGCACGGCCTCGCAGCAGCGGCAACACGGCCCTCCCGCGGCCGTCTGCGTCGGAGGGCTTGCGGGATGCGGGCAAGGCTCATGTCCATACGGCTAACCCGCATAGTAAGGATGGGCAACCTTCTCAAGGGTACCCTTGCATCCTTGCCTCCTCGGTCCATCCTAGGCCACTTTCGCTGGCGGCGCCCCGCTCGAAAAGCTTCGAAATGGGGGTCCAAGGCCGCACCCGATCGCGCATCCTTCCTCTACTGGTTGACTGTATACAGTGCGTCTTGGATTTTTCTGGAAGGAGCACCACAAGGCCGGGAGGCGCACTGGATGTGGACAACATCGCCTTTAGGGGGCAGATCTATCCATATCCAGCGCGAATCGGGTTTCTGGGGAAGGGAACCCGAAACTCCATATCGCTGTGGATATGGGCAGAAGTATTGCCCGCGCGAGAGGCGGCGCATGCAGCAGCGTGAGTCGAATGATAGACAACGGCGTAAACATAAAAGCCTTTGAGCTCCGCGCGGATTTCCTGGATCGGCGCTGGTGCCCCCTCCCTGGCGCGCGGAGCGGCTCGAGCCCGCCAGTGGCGGCGCAGGAGGCGTCGCCGGGGGGGCCCAGCGCAGATCCAAGAAACCCGCGCGGAGCTTCAAAAGTATATGTTTATGTAGTTTTTTCGTCCTCTACTAAGTGCAGATCCGCACTGAATCTAGGAAGGAAGTCGCAGACGGGCGGGTCAGAGGGAGGGATCGCGCCAATATCTGACATCCTGTCCCTCCCACCCATTCCTTTCCATTGCGCGGATTTTTTCTCTATCACCGGGCGCGTGTCATAGCGAACCTCGATCTCCAAGAAAGGCCCCATCATGTGATGCGCAACCAGAGAAATAGGAAACTGCGTACATCGGAGGATGAGGAGGAGGCGTAGGAGTAGGAGTAAGAGTAGGAGTAGGAGTAGGAGTAGGAGTATGAGGAGGAGGAGGAGGAGGAGGAGGAGGAGGAGGAAGAGGAGGAGGAGGAGGAGGAGGATGTGGCGGATCAGCGGGAGGATGAGCAGGAGGAAAAGGGGGATGAGGAAGGACGAGGACGAGGACGAACATCAGCAGCGGGACTTGGAGCGGAAGGAGCGGCAGGAGCAGGGGAGCCAGGGGAAGCTGGTGGAGGGGACAGGAAGGGGGGCGACGGCAGCGAGGAAGCACTCGGATCCAGCAACGTGGTCCGGGCAGGGGCGAGAGCGCCGTTCGACAGGTCGGGAGCACCGCCGCAGTCCCAAAACGAGGCCCACGCTGCAGAGGGGGGCGGCCACTCCCCGGCCGTACTTGGGGAGAGGCGCGGGCAGTCTTCAGATTCCCCAGGCAGCGGTTTGCATGCAGAGGTTCCTACTTCTGGTCTATGGAAGCGGGGCTGGCTGGCGGGCTGGCGACTATGCTGTCGCCGTCGCTGCCCCGTCGCCGTCTCGTCGCCGCCTGTCGTTTGGGCCCGGCTGGCGGGCTGGCGGCTATGTTGTCGCCGTCGCCGCCCCGTCGCCGCCTCGTCGCCGCCCGTCGTCTGGAACAGATATTGCACCACATTGATTGCACCACGTAGATTGCCCAACCTAGGTTGCACAACACAGGTTGCACAGTATGAATTGCGCACCACAGGCTGCAGACCGCATACTGCTCAACATAGATTGCACCACCTAGGTTCTCCTGGAATTCTAGACGCTTCGCGTAACCCCACCAGCGTTCAGCGGCCGGTTAGTGGCTGTTTCGCTGGCAGACGTTCAGCGTTACTTTTGCTGCTGGCACACGCTCAGCTGCTTCTCGGCCGGCACAGTGCTGCGCCGTTAATTATATGTTTCCCGCGCGCTGTGTCCCAGCCTCGTTCTTACCGCCCTCTGGACTTTTCCTTGCGGACCGCGAATCAAACAAGTAATCCCACCAGCGGGCCTTCTGGGAGCGGAGGCTCCGCACCATTTTGGTACCTGCGGCCACCGCGGGCGCCCTCTCCGGTGGTCGGCACCCTCCAGGCAGTGGCCCGAACCCCCTCGGTGGCTTACACACTGGCCCACGCCCCAAGAGGCAAGTGAGTGGTTTTGGCACGTTCCGCCTGGCAGTCTGACTCCACCTGCGGGTCCGACCTATTTCCGCCCGCCTCCCTTCTGCTGGCACACGTTCAGCGGTTTTTGGGATCCGCCTGGAGGCGCCTGGGCTTCAGCTGGTGCCTTCACGGTTGCCTTTTTTGCTGGCACATGTTCAGCGTCGTTAATTATCTGGCACGTTCCGCCTGGCAAGTCTGACTCCACCTGCGGGTCCGACCTCCTCTGCCCGCCCCCCTTATGCTGGCAACGCTCAGCGGCTTTTGGGGTCCGCGTGGAGGCGCCTGGGCTTCAGCCGGTGCCTTCTCGGTTGCCTCTTTTGCTGGCGCATGTCCAGCGTCGTTAATTATTTGCAGTATCGTGCGCTGTGCCCCAGCCTCATTCACACCGCCCTCTGGACTTTTCCTTGCGGGCCGCGAATTAAAAAAGTAACCCCACCAGCCCATCAGAAACGATGCCCAGAGGAAGTGCCTCGATCAGGGAAGTGGGCAGCACACAGAGGAAGGGTCCCCCAGAGGAGGCCTCTTGGAGCGTCTTGGGGGCCTCTTGGCGGTCCCGGACGCCTTTTAGAGCGTATTGGGTGCCTCGGAGAGCTTCTTGGGGCCTCTCGGGGGTCTCTTGGGGGCCTCTGGGGCGCCTGTTGGGGCCTCCTGGGGCCTCCTGGGCGCCTCGTGGGGCAGGAGCGCTCTTGGAGCCCTCTTGGGCCATCTTGGAGTCATCGTGAAGCCTCGGATGACCATCGGAAGCGAAAAGGCGAGAAAACCCAAAACATTGATTTTCCTTTGGTTTTTGAAGGATTGTGCCTCTTCGGGGCCTCCTGGGGGAGCTTTTTGGCCACTTGGAGCCGTCTTGAGGCGGTCTTGAGGCCTCTTGGGGCATCGTGGGAGCCATCTTGAGGCATCTTGGGGTGCCTTGAGCCATCTTGGAGGTCATCTTGTGCTCTCCAAGGCGCCCTTGGAGTCATCTGAAGCAGTGCCCACCCCCCCAGGAGGCCCAAATGTGGCCAAAACCTTGGTAAAATCAATGACTTTGGCAGTCTCGCCGGGGCCTCTGTGAGCGTCTTGGGTGCCTCTGGGGGGCCTCTTGGGGCCTCTTGGGGGTCTCTTGGGAGCCTCTTGGGGGCATCCTGGGGGCCTCCTGGGGACCTCTTGGGGGCTTCTTGGGGCCACATGGGGCCATCTTGGGACCATCTCGGGGCCTCTTGGGGCCTCCTGGGCGCCTCTTGGGGCCATCTTGGAGGAGATCGATCACAGGAGGGGGGGACTCAATTAGCCCTCCCCCCCCTCCTCTCAGGAAGCCAACATGGGGCCCAAACCGTAGTAAAACGAATGATTGTGGCTTCCTCGCCGAGGCCGTTTTGGACGCTCCAACGCGTCGGGGAACCCCCCGTCGAGGTCCAGGGGAGGGGGTAGGGGGAGGGGTAAACCCCTCCCCGAAGGGGAAGGAGGGGTAAAAGAGGAAACGTTCTAGACCACCTACGCCCAAAGGGCTGGTGGGATTAACGGTCCCCCTTTTCGTACCGCAATTTGCATGTGACTCTGCCCCATCGTTCATCCTAAATGTGAACTCGGACCACGCCAGCCTGGAAAAGATCGTCCCCCCAGTCATCCTCTGCAGAAGTACTACGCACGCGCGCTCGTTTATCAACATATGGGGCGAAGTGTACATTTGGGACGAAGTGCGCAGATGGGACGAAGTTCCAATAATATATTGCAACACGTGGGACGACATGCACACGCGCGCGTCGTCGCGCGCGCATGCCGAAATCTTTCACACAGGGATTTCAAAATCGAGTGTCCCGAAAACAAGTGCAAGAAAGACAGCGGGTTTCGCAACACGGATGTTCAAAAAAGCTTGCGGTCGGGCTGCGAAGTCTTAAGACAACCATCGTGTTTCCAACATGCTCATAACATAACATGCTATTGAACGAACGGGCCTCTCGCGCGCGCATGCCGGACTCGCTCGAACGTCCTTGCGCGCGAGCTGTCGAAATAATCTGTTGTAGCGAATGTGACGCAGTGCACAGGCGCGCGTCGTCGCGCGCGCATGCCGGAAACTTAGAGCAATCGTCGGCTTGGTAGGGGATTAAAAACCGAACGCCCCGGAAACAGATCGCAAACACGTGGTTTTGCAACGTCAGTTTTCAGAGTTGCCTGCGCTCGCGCTCCTGCGAATTCTGAAGAACACCATTTGTTTTACATGTTCATACTACTCGGTCAAACGAGCCCCTCGCACCGCACGTCGGAATCACTCGAACGCCCTTGCGCGCGTGCTGTGTGTGTGTGTGTCTGTGTGTGTCTGTGTGGTTCGGTTGGTTGGTGTTTGTGGGGGGGCACAACCCGTGCCAAATAATACCATGCGGGCCACTCTCGCGCGTCGGTCGCGCACGCATGTCGAACTCCTTCTGAAACCTTCTTCACCGACGCGAGGACGCCTTCATCGCCGTCGGCGTGATCAGTATCAGCGCCGTCAATTTCGCTGCCGTCGTTATTGTTACCATCGTCGCCAGCATCGCTGCCATCATCTTTGCGTCTACCTTTGTCGACGTTGCCATGGTACCGCGCCCGCCCAAGCCGCCGACTCGCACTGAAGTGCCCGCTATGAAGTTCCCAGCGGCGAGCGCAACCGCGGCCCCTCGGTCGCGCCAAACTAGCTGGCCGCTGCGCGCGCCAGCATGCGCGGGCTAGCGCGGCCGCAGAAATGCGCCAGCCAACTCCGAGCACTCATCGCAATCGCCGCCGCATGGGTCTTGCAAGCCAAGTTGCGGGTGGGTGGGTGGGTGGGTGGGCGGGTGGGTGCGATGGTTGCGCGAGCAGAGGAACGGACAGCCCACCGCGAGCAGAAATCCATTGCACCACATAGTTAGCACCACATAGTTTGCACCACACAGCTTGTACAGCAGTTCGTGCTAGAACCACAAGGCTTGTGGTCCACGCTGGCTAACGTTGAATAGTTGTGACAGGGATGCGGGGGTGGAGGAGGAAGAAGAGGAGGAGGAGGAGGAGGAGGAGGAGGAGGAAGAGGAGGAGCAGGGGACGAGGAGGAGGAGGAGGGAGGAGGAGGAGAGGAAGAGGAGGAGGAGGGGAGAGGAGGGGAGGGGAGGAGGAGGAGGAGGAGGAGGAGAAGAGGAGGAGGAGGAAGAGGATGCTGAATACTGACAGCATCGACACGGGTGCTAATCCTATTGATAATACTGCTAATCATGATTCTAAACATATTGAGAGTAATGCTTAGCCTAAGAAGCAACATGATAATCAAACACCTACTAATCAGACTAATGGTAAACATGTGAAGAACATACGGAGAAACTGACTAGCATAATAACCATGCGAAAACGAAGAAGAGGAATATGATGATGAGGAGGAGGGAAAAGGAGGAGGAGGACGAAGGTGGAGGAGGGGAGGAGGAGGAGGAGGAGGAGGAGGAGGAGGAGGAGAAGGAGGAGGAGGAGGAACAGAAGGAGGAGGAGAAGGAGGAGGGGGAGGAGGAGGAGGAGGAGGAGGAGGAGGAGGAGGAGGAGGAGGAAGAGGAGGAGGAGGAGGAGTTCGAGGAGGAGGAGTTGAAGGAGGAGGAGGAGGAGGATGCGGGGGCGGAAAGGGAGGAGGAGGAGGGGGAGAAGAGGAGGAGGGGAGGAGGAGGAGGAGGAGAGGAGGAGGAGGAGGGACAAAGGGGGAGGTAGGAAGGATGAGGGAGGGGGGAGGAGGGAGGGGAGAGGAGGAAGGAGGAGGAGGAGGAAGAACAAGATGAGGAGGAGGAGGAGGAAGAGGAGGAGGAGGAGGAGGAAGGAGGAGGAGGAGGAGAAAGAGGAGGAGGAGGAGGTGGACGAGGAGGAGCCTATCCGTCGGTTGTCCAATGGGTTGCTGCCAGGGGCCCTGAAAACTGAGATTCCTGTTTAGCTGGATCGTGGATCGTGTGTTGCCCTCGGACGGGGCCCCCACCACGTCGGCTGGAAGAGGGGGGCGAAAGAGGAGGAGGAGGAGGTGGCGGAGGGAGCGGAAGGAGGAGGAGGAGGAGGAGGAGGAGGAGGAGGAGAAGGAAGAGGAGGAGGAGGAGGAGGAGGAGGAGGAGGAGGAGGAGGAGGAGGAGGAGGGGGGGCGGAAAGGGAGGGAGGAGGAGGAGGAGGAGGAGGAGGAGGAGGAGGAGGAGGAGGAGGGGGAGGGGGAGGAGGAGGAGGAAGAAGAGGAGGAGGACGAGGAGGAGGAGGAGGAGGACTGTAAACCCAAGAGTCATCAACGATGTTGGAATGAACCCTCCCTCCAAGCTCCCACTGCATAGGCCCCTGCGCCGGTTCATTCCCACTGGTGGAACTGCCTCGTTGGAGGAACCGTTTGAAGACGCTGAGCCGTGTCACAACATTATTCTCGGGACTCCAGCGTCACGGATCAGTCTGATTGTTGCGTCCTGACGATCTGGATTCGCGCCAGAATGCCATCTTTGGAATTCCAACATCGCGAAGCAACGTAATTGTTGCACCCTAAAGCTTCTAAATATTTTCAAAACACAATTTCTGGTACGATGGTCATTGGAATCCGTGAAAGTCGTGCAGAGTTTAAAACGAATGCGCGCGGCGCTGAGGCGAGAGCACGTTTTGAAAACCACCCGCCCTCAATCCGTGAAACTCTTGCATTTTTGTTGAACGAATGTGCGCGGCGCTCAGGCGAGAGCCACAATTTGAGAACCACCCGCCTTCAATCCGTAAAACGCTAGCACAGTTTTCAAATGAATGTGCGCGGCAGTAAGGCGAAAGCCACGTTTTGAAAACCACCCGCCCTCAATCCGTGAGGCTCTTGCATGTTAAAAAAACGAATGTGCGCGGCGCTGGGGCGAGAGGCACATTTTGAAAGCCACCCGCCCTCCATCTGTGAAGCTGTTGCCAATGTTTGACCTTTAGGTTTGCAAATTGTGAGGAACTCTCGGGCGAAACGCCCAGCCCGTCCGAAAAACTGGCCTCGGGGTGCGACAGGGAGAAACTATGTGTAATGAAAAGGGATAGAGGAGGAGGAGAAGGAGGAGGAGGAGGAGGAAAAGGAGGAGGAGAAGGAGGATAACGAGGAGGAGAAGCAGGGAGGAGCAGCGGCAGGGAGCAGGGAGGGGGGGGAGGCCGCGGAGGCGAACGCCAGGAGACCCTGCAGCACCTCGCGCGGGCGTGGGGGGTGCGCTTCACGCTGCACAGCCTCCTGCACGGCACGCGGGAGATCCCCGCTGGCAGGCCATGCCGCGGCGGGGCGGAGCGGGCCTTCGGTGCGGTCGGAGTGGCCATGAAGCATAAGAGCCGCGAGAGAAACCCTGGCATCGTGGCGTCGCATTTTTTCCCCGACCTGGCGGATGGGTTCCTGTTGTGTGTTCCCCTGGGGGGGTCGGGGGGGGACCCCCCGGGACATGGCCCCGGCCACGGGCGGAACGCCGGCGGATGACTGCAGAAGACGGCACCACACGGCCAAATTTCCGCAGACGCGCTTCCGAGAGGCACAGACGGCCCCAAGATGGTCCACAAGATGGTTCAAGAAGGCCTCGAGTGGCCGAAAGATCGGGCCAAGACGCCCAACATGGCGTCCCGACGTCCCAAGAAGCCCAAAAGACGCCCCGAGAGGCCCCCAAGAGGCTTTCCAGGAGAGCCCGAAACAGAACAAATCGTTAGTTTTCCATAGGTTGTTGAAGGTTTTTGGGTTTTCGCCTGTTCGGATTCCCGCCGCTCCACGACGGCCCAAGAGGTCCCAAAGACCGCCCCAAGACAGCCTCAGAGACCCCCAAGAGAGCGCTCAGACGGCTCAAGACGTCCTCAAGACGACATCAGAGGCCTCCAAGACGGCCTCACAAGTGTTCCAGGCACGCCCCAAGAGAGCCCCGGGATCGGAGGCAGCGGCCGAATTTTCTGGTTCTCCGCCCCAATGACCCCTCCAGAAGCCCCCAGAGACGCCCAATCTGGCGTCCCGATGTCCCAGGGAGTTCAAAAGACGCCCCGAGAGGCCCCCAAAAGGTTTTCCAGGAGAGCCCGAAACGTAACAATTGTCTAGTTTTTTTCAGGCTTTGAAGGTTTTTTTTGGTTTTCGCCTGTTCGGCTTCCGCCGCTGCAAGACAGCCCATTATGTCCCAAAGAACGCCCCAAGACAGCCTCAGAGACCCCCAATAGAGCACTCAGACGGCTCAAGGCGTCCTCAAGCCGACACAAGAGGCCTCAAAGAACGCCCCAAGACGGCCTCACAGACCCCCAAGCGCTCAGGCGGCCCAAGACGTCCTCAAGACGTCCCAAGAGGCCTCCAAGACGGCCTCACAAGTGTCCCAGGCACGCCCCAAGAGAGCCCTTGGAGCGGAGGCAGGGGCAGATGTTTCAGGCTCTCCGCCCCAATGACCCCTCCTGAGGCCCCCAGAGGTTCCCAAGAAGCCCCCAAGAGGCCCCAATAACCTTTGCAGAGGCCCCAAGAGGCCCCCCAAAACCCTCCAGAAGCTTCCAGCAAGCCCCCAGAAGCGCCCAAGATGGGCCCAACACTGCCCCAAGAGAGCCCTGGGACGGCTGGAGTCGCCTCGACAAAGCCTCACAGCGTCAAACGGAAAACACGGGAACGTGATGAGACCCCAAGTGACGCTGAAGAAGATCCCAAGAGGACTCAAGACCTCGAGACGCCTCCAGAAAGCCCCGACAAGCCCCCAAGAGAGCCCCAGGACTGCCCCAAGATCCCAGGACTGCTGGAAGCGCCTCGACAAAGCGTCACAGCGACAAACGGACAGTCCCGGGACTCCCTCCGGAGGGCCCCAGGACGGTTGAAGGCCTTGAGGAGGCCCCAACAGGTCCCCAAGCGCCACAACGAGTCACAACGACAAACGGACAGCCCCAGGACTTCTTGGCTCGTACGGAAATGTCCTGAGCTCACCATACCAGGTCTGAATCAAACCCCCAGAAGCGCCCAATAGGGCCTCAGGACAGCCCCAAGAGAGCCCCACGACGGCTGGAGGCGCTTCGACAAAGCCTCACGGCGTCAAACGGACAACACGGGAACCAATGTAATGTGCGTTAAGTAGCACAGCGTCAGTCGGACCACACGGGAACCAATGTAATGCGCACCCTGGCCTTCCCCTTCTGGGCTCGCATGGAAACGTGCTGAGCTCACCCCGTGGCTCGCATGGTCGCGTTCTGAGCTCACCTCCAAGACGCACCGTGGTTTTTCTGGCCGCCTTTCCCTCTGGACAGCTGTCGCAGAGAAACCCCAAGCGACTTTCCCTATTGCCAGAAAGCCTTCGAAGAAGCCTCCAGGAGACTTCAATGCGGCCGTATGCGGCCCCCGACCGCCGCAAGTTGTCCAATCCAGTCCTCATACAGTCAGACACGTCCCCGACACAACCTCCAACCAAACCCGACGGCCCCCAGGCGCTCCCAGATCCTCCCAAATCAATTTTCTCGCCCGTCATATGCAATCGCGCCCCCTCCCTTCACTGTGGCTCGCATGGAAACGTGCTGAGCTCACCTCGTGACTCGCACGGTCGCGTGCTGAGCTCACCCCCTCCCTTCTGTGTGGCTCGCATGGACACGTGCTGAGCTCACCTCGTAACTCGCCTAGTCGCGTGCTGAGCCCACTTCCAAAACACATCCGTTTTCTTGGCCACCTTTTCTTCACAGACGTTCCCGACACAACCTCTGACAAAATCCGAGGTTTCGGGTTCTCCGCCACAATAACCCCTCCAGAGGCCCCCAGAAGCTCCCAAGAAGTTCCCAAGAGGCCCACATAACCCCTGAAGAGGCCCCAAGAGGCCCTCAAGAACCTTCAGAGGCCTCCAGCAAGACCCCAGAAGCGCCCAAGATGGGCGCAAACCTGCCCAAAGATAACCCCCGGCCAGCTGGCGGTTCCTCGACAACGCCTCACAGCGCGTCAAACGGAAAACACGGGAACGTGATGAGACCCCAAGTGACGCCGAAGAATACCCCAAGAGGCCTCAAGATCTCAAGACGCCTCCTGGAAGCCCCCAGAACCTCCCACGAGGGCCCCAGGACTGCCCCAAGACCCCAGGACTGCTGGAAGCGCGTCGACAAAGCGTCAGAGCGACAAACGGACAGCCCCGGGAATCCCTCAGGAGGGCGCCAGGACGGCTGAAGGCCCTGAGGAGGCCCCAAGAGGCCCCCAAGACGACCCCAACAAGCCTCGAAACCTCACCACGCATCCAGGAAGCCCCCAGAAGCGGCCAAGAGGGCCCCAGGACTGCCCCACGACTCCAGGACTGCTGGAAGTGCCTCGACACAGCCTCACAGCGACAAACGGCCAGCCCCGAGACGTCCTAGCTCGTATGGCAATTTCCTGAGCTCACCTTAGGAGGTTTCCAGCAAGCCCCCAGAAGCGCCCAACAGGGCCTCAGGACAGCCCTAAGAGGGCCCCGCGACGGCTGGAGGCGCCTCGATAAAGCGGCACAGCGTCAAACGGACAACACGGGAACCAGCAGAATGCGTCCTATAGGCAGCCTCTTCTTCGTTTTTCTCTGTCTCGCAATTCACGCCCACTTGTCCTCCAAGGTCGGGGTTCGTGACAATATCAGGTTCGAGCCGGGCGTTGTCGTCCAGTTTTGGGCCAATCCAGTTCGAAAAATGCAACAGACAGATGGGGTCCAGGGCTTTGGTTGCGATTTCTCATTCTGTTGTGGTGCTTCGTGTCGTCGGATTTCTCGGAGCGGGTCCATCGGTCTTGCACCGTTTTCGGCCTCTGGGGGGCCCTCCCTGGGCCCGGGGACTGCCAACTAACCGCTCAGGATGAAACATCGGCACTGGAGAAAAGGCCGGGACTTCCGGGGACCCCTTATTCAAACAATAACAATCAAGCCTCGCATGTGTGGCGTAATGTTGTTCAGAGGAGGTTTGCTAGAGGTCTCCAGCGGACCTCCTCCTCCTCCTCCTCCTCCTCCTCCTCCTCCTCCTCCTCCTCCCCCTCCTTCTCCTCCTCCACAGTCGAAGAAGAAAACAGGGCATGAAACATATGAACATTCGGGGCTTCGCGCGGATTTCTTGGATCGGCGCTGGGCCCCCTGGCGGCGCCTCCGGCGTCAGAGGCTGTTTCTCCCCGACTTGGCGGAGGGGTTCCCGTGTAGTGTTCCCCTGGGGGGGTCTGGGGGGGACCCCCCTGGACATGGCCCCGGCCACGGGCGGAACGCCGGCGGAAGACGGCAGAAGACGGCAGGACACGGCCCCATTTCCGCAGACGCGCTTCCGAGAGGCACGGACGGCCCCAAGATGGTCCACAAGATGGTTCAAGAAGGCCTCGAGTGGCCGAAAGACCGGCCCAAGACGCCCAACATGGCGTCCCGACGTCCCAAGAAGCCCAAAAGACGCCCCGAGAGGCCCCCATGAGGCTTTTCAGGAGAGCCCGAAACATCAAATATCATTAGTTGTCCTTGGGCATTTGAAGATTATGGTTTTTGCATTTTCGGCTTCCCGCCGCTCCAAGACGGCCCAATAGGTCCCAAAGAACGCCCCCAAACAGCTTCAGATACCCCCAAGAGAGCGCTCAGACGGCTCCGTAGCCATTTTGGCTTAAGCCTTTTGGCTCAAGCCATGTGGGCTCAGATCCGCATGCGCTCGAAGTGGAGCACCGGTCTGGCGCGCGATGGGCCTGGGCCGACCCAGGGGATCTCCGACCAACCAGTTGGTCGGGAAGGCGCTGTGCTTCCACGGCCTGCTGTGCTTGAGCGCCCTGATACTGGGCAAGTGGCTCGCCTGCGTGCTGAGGACGTGCGAGTTTGGATTCTGCCTGAACGTGGCCTTGATCCCGCCGGGCGAAGGGGCAGCCGTCAGCGGCGGGTCGAGCGACGAGCTGGCATCCAGGCTGCCAGGCGCGGCCCAGGAGGGCAAGTCGATCGCAGTCTTTCTGCAGGTCGGCAACGCCGAGGCGTGGCCCGACTTGCGCGCGTGCCTCTCGAACGTGTTGGAGGGGGCCGACGCGGCGCGGCGCGACGTGGACGTGCACCTGGGCATGTTCAGTCAGACCCAGTCCGACAAGGCCGAGGCCGCGCGCCTGGTTGAGAGCGACGCTGCCAATCTTCTGCAGAAGTGGAACGGAGTGGCGGGTCGTTCCATTCGGGCCAGGTTTCGCGTGAACACGTCGTTAGAAAACAAAGGCGCCGACATAGGTTTGTTCCTCCAGCAGGGCTTGCAAGTTACATACTCTAGATATGAGCTTCTGCTGAAATTGCATAGCAAAACTCACAAAGGGTGGCGCTGCCACATGCTCGCATCTCTGTGTGGATCCGCCGATCAAGTCGGCCGAATCATCAAACTGTTCCACGAGCGATCAGATCTGGGCTTCTTGGGGCCCTGGTCGTTGACCTGCTCGTGGAATTCAAACATAGAAATTTGGCCGTGCAAGTTCGCTTTTGAACCCCGCGTAGAAATTCTCATGAAGAACACGTGGGCTCGCATGTTCGAGAAGACAATGGTATTTCCCTCTCGCGATCAATACCTCATGGCTGCAGGCTCCATGTTTTGGGCTCGGTCTGCGCCGTTGTTGGAAGATGTTCAACTTCGCAGTGCGGCTCAAAGGCTGCTGCCTTCGTGGTCGCTGGGCTACCAGTCACGTTGCAACACAATTGCGTGTCTTGATGCATATGCTCTGGAGCGGATATTGCCAACGACGATCAAAGCGCTGCATGGATTGGTCGGCGCCGAGGCGCCCGACAACCACTATGACGTTTCAAACGACAAGAATTACAGTATGAGGGCTCCCTGTCCACGTTGAGTGTCTAGTCGCATGCTGAGGAGGAGGAGGAGGAGGAGGAGGAGGAGGAGGAGGAGGAGGTGGAGGAGGAGGAGGAGGTGGAGGGGGAGATGAGGTGTTTCTGCGGCCCGTTGGTTGTTACTGCGGCCTGGTGGGTGTTAGTATGGCCAGGGTTCCTCCGGAGTGCGTTAATTAACGAGTGCGGTGAAGGGGGGGAGGGGGGGGGCTCCAAAGAGGCTCCCCCCCCCTTCGCCGAAGAGCCTCTCGGAAGAGCCTCTGGCGCTCTCCGAAGAGCTTCTTGGGGCCGCCGAAGAGCTTCTTGCAGCCACCGAAGAGCCCCTTGGGCTCGCCCAAGAGCCTCTTGGGCTCTCCGAAGAGCCTCCTGGGCTCTCCGAAGAGCCTCTTAGGGCCTCCGAAGAGCTTCTTAAGGCCGCCGAAGAGCCTCAGCCGCCGAAGAGCCTCTTCGAGCGGCCGAAGAGCCTCTTCGAGCGGCCGAAGAGCCTGTTGTGTTGTTGTGTTGTTGTGTTGTTGTTGGTGGTTCGTTTGTTTGTTCGTGTTGTTTATTCATGATTTTTGTTTGTTGCTGGTTTGTATGTTTTTGTTGGCCCTAGACATCCTAGGAGCCCGTAGTAACCCATGCGCCTAGTCATCCCGAGGACTAGTAACCCCTATGACTAGAAATCCTTAGGACGAATACTCCCCAGGTCTAGTAATCCCTAGCATCGGTAATTCCTATGGCTAGTGTTCCCTAGGGCATGTACTCCCTAGGACAAGTACTCGTTAGGACTAATACGCCCAATGACTAGTGCCCCCTTGCCCCTTGGACTAGAATCCCTAGGACTAGTACTCCCTAGGGTTAATGATCCCTGGGACTAGTACTCCCTAAGGCTATCACTCCCCAGCGACAGTACTTCCTAGGACTAGCACTCCCTCGGACTAGCACTCCCTAGGACTAGTATACCCTAGGGCTTGTATTCCGCAGCACGAGTACTCCCCAGGACTAGGGGTAGTAATTCCTAGGACTGGTACTCCCTCGGGCAAACACTCCCTACGGCTAGTACTCTGTAGGACTAGTACTCCCTATGAGTGGTATTCCCTAACACGGCACTGGTCGCAATGAGGCATCCTCCCTGAGCCGTCTTGAGCCAAACCTAGTTTTTGGAAGAGGGAGAACGAGGGGCAGGGAGAGGCGGAGAGGGAGGGGGAGGGGGAGGGAGAGGGAGGAGGAGGAGAGGGACGGGCAGAGGGGGGGGAGGAGTAGTATTCTCCAGGATGCAAGGGTGCACGTGTTCTCTGAGACCTCGCAAGGTACGGATGCAACACGCTCGTCTTCTCCTTCTTCTCCTCGGCCTCGCCTAGGATTCCAGGATGCCTCGTCCTGCCAGGCCCGTAGTTATCAGGTTCGCAACCGAGGCACGGCTATATCTTCCTCTACTACTGCAACCCAGGCACGATCCGCGATCTTCGTGTGAGGATGTTAAGTGTGAGCAAGACTGGGAGCCCGAGGTGGGATCCGGGCGCCTTGACGGCTGGGAGCCCAAGGTGGGGTCCAACACGGCGACAAGGAGGAGTCTGTCAGAGACCTCACAGGGGGTCCACAGGAGTGCGGGCCCTTTTCAAAAATGAGCTCCCAGGGCTTCTTCAAGCAGTAGTACCACTACAACACTACCACAGTACGGACGCAACGCTACCATAGTACCACAACGCCACAACACCGCTACCACAACACCACGACACCGCTACCACAATACCACAACCACAACACAACAACACCAGTACCACAATACGACTACCACAGCACCACTGCCACTACCACAACAGTACTACCTACCAACAAGTCAACCACACTACCAACACCACACCACTAACACCACAACCGCATCACCACTGCGAGTTCCAAACAGGGGTCTGTTATGGACTCGCCGCGTACTACTACAACAATACTGCTACTACGACTACTACTACTACTACTACTACTACTACAACTACTACTACTACTATTATTACTACTACTACTACTACTACTACTACCACTGCTAGTAGTAGTAGTAGTAGTAGTAGTACTACTACCACTACTAGTACTACTACTACTTTTAGTATTACTACTACTATTGCTACTAGACTACTACTACTACTACTACTACTACTACTACGACTACTACTACTACTCCTACTACTACTACGACGGCGACGACGACGACGACTACTACTACTACTACTACCACCTACCACTCCTACTGCTGCTGCTGCTGCTGCTGCGACTACTACTACTACTACTACTACTACCAGTACTACTACTACTACTACTACTACCACTGCTACTAGTAGTAGTAGTAGTAGTAGTTTACACTACTACCACTACTATACTACTACTACTACTACGTCTACTACTTCTACTACTACTACTACTAACACTGCTACTACTATACTACTTACTATTACTTTGCTACTACTGCTCCACTACTATAATACTCCTGCTACTATACTACTACTACTATATGTACTACTACCTACTAGTAGCTACTACCACTACTACCACTACTACTAATACTACTACTACTACTACTTCTACTACTTACTACTACTACTACTACTACTTCGACTGCTACTACTACTACTACTTATTACTAACTACTACGACGGACGGACGACGACGACGACGACGACGACGACGACGACGACGACGACTACTACTACTACTACTACTACTACTACTACTACTACTACTACTACTACTACTACTACTCCTACCACTACCACCACTACTACTACTACTACTACTACTACTACCTACTACTACTACTACTACTACTACTACTACTACTACTACTACTACTACTACTACTACCACCACCACCACCACTACGACGACTACTACTACTACTACTACTACTACTACTACTACTACTACTACTACTACTACTACTACTAGTACTACTACTATTACTTACTGCGACTACTACTACTACTACTACTACTACTACTACTACTACTACTACTACTACTACTACTACTACTACTACTACTACGACTACTACTACTACGACTACTACTACTACTACTACTACTACTACGATTACTACTACTACTACTACTACTACTACTACTACTACTACTCCTACGACTACTACGATACTACTACTACTACTACTAATACTACTACTTTATATTACTACTACTATTACTACTACTACTACTACGACGACTTACGACTTACTACTACTACTACTACTACGACCCGTACGACGGACGACGACGACGACGACGACGACGACGACGGCCGACGACGACGACGACGACGACGACGAGCGACGACGACGACGACTTACTACTACTTACTACTAACTACTATACCACCTACCACTACCACTCCTACTGCTGCTGCTGCTGCTGCGACTACTACTACTACTACTACTACTACTACTACTACTACCACCACCACCACCACCACCACCACCACCACTACGACGACGACGACTACTACTACTACTACTACTACCACTACTAGTACTACCACGTTGGTTCCAGGTGGGACTTACTGTGGCCACTTTCGCCTGCGCGGGAGTGCATTCCCTTAAGGGATGCGAATCTCCCCAGATCTAACATAAGATACCTTTACATGTTACTTTCCATTGATCGGCCAGCGCGGGCCACAGCAACTCCCATCCGGCCGCGCGACGGGCCACACTAACACCCAACGGGCCACACTAACACCCAACGGGCCACAGTAACAACCGATCTTGGTGGAGGGGGGGGGAGGGCGGAACAAGAAGGGAGGGGGGTCTTCGGAACGAGGCCGCCTCCAGGGAGGTAGCGAATTCGTTTCCCTCCTTTTGCTAGGTCCCCGAAGACGCGTTCTACCACACATACTTACTGAGTGGTTCACGTTCGCGCGCGTCTAGCTTGTTTGATCTCGAGGGTGCATTGAGCTTCTGCTCGGCCTTGAGTTTTTGTTTCGTCAGCTTATGTGCTGACGGATCGTTCTTGCACTTGAGACGGATAAAAAAAGAAAACGCTCAGACGGCTCAAGACGTCCTCAAGACGATCCAAGAAGCCTCCAAGATGGCTTTACAAGTGTTCCAGGTACGCCCCAGGAGAGCTCCCGGAGCGGAGGCAGGGGCAGATTTTTCTGGTTCTCCGCCCCAGTGACCCCTCAAGAAGCCCCCAGAGACGCCCAATATGGCGTCCCGACGTCCAGGGAGCCCAGAAGACGCCCCGAGAGGTTCCCAAAAGGCTTTCGAGGAGAGCCCGCACCGTAGCAAATCTTTAGTTTTCCTTAGGTTTTTGAAGTTTTTTGGGGTTTTCGCCTGTTCGGCTTCCCGCCGCTCCCAGACGGCCCAAGATACCCCAAATAACGCCCCATGACAGCCTCAGAGACCCTTAAGAGAGCGCTCAGACGGCCCAAGACGTCCTCAAGACGACCCAAGAGGCCTCCCCCCAAGAGAGCCCTCGCAGCGGAGGCAGCGGTCGATTTTTCGGGTTCTTCGCCCCAGTGACCCTTCCAGAACCCCCCAGAGACGCCCAATATGGCGTCCCGATGTCCCAGGGAGTTCAAAAGACGCCCCGAGAGGCCCCCAATACGCTTTCCAGGAGAGGCCGAAACATCACAAATCTTTAGTTGTCCTTAGGTTTTTGATGCATTTGTGTTAAATGATGTTTGTATATTCGGTGTCCCGCCGCTCCAAGACGGCCCAAGAAGTCCCAAAGAACGTCTCAAGACAGCCTCATAGACCCCCAAGAGAGCGCTCAGACGGTTGAAGACGTTCTCAAGGCGAACCAAGAGGCCTCCAAGACAGCCTCACAAGCGCCTCAGGCACGCCCCAAGAGAGCACCTGGAGCGGAGGCAGGGGCAGATGTTTCGGGTTCTCCGCCCCAGTGACTGAGGCCCCCAAAGAAGCCCCCAAGAGGCCCCAATAACCCCTGCAGAGGCTCCAAGAGGACCCTCCAGAGGCTTCCAGCAAGCCCCCAGAACACCCAAGATGGGCCGAGCACTGCCCCAAGAGAGCCCCAGGACGGCTGGAGGCGCCTTGACAAAGCCTCACAGTGTCAAAC